CTGTCAGGAGGCTGTCAGGCAGGCTGTCAAGGCAGGCCTGTCAGGCAGGCTGTCAGGCAGAGGCCTGTCAGGAGGGCTGTCAGGGCATGGCTGTCAGGGCAGGGCTGTCAGGCAGGGCTGTCAGGCGAGCGTCGAAGGCGGCCTGGTGCGGGGAGAGTGGCGGAGGCGCGAAGGACCCGGACCGAGGGCTGTGGAGTGGGCCAGTGTCGTGGTGGGCTCAGAAAGTGACAGCACAAGCTGGTGGAATAGAACCACGGTTGATGGGAAGGAAGACTGCGGTGCTGGAGGAGGGCGATGAGGCGGTGAGGGGTGGGCGAGGGTAGGTCAGCTGGCGCGGGGCGGGGGGAGCGGGACGGAGGGAGCGGTTCGCAAGCGGCCGCGCAGGCGGGGCGTGTGTGGTGCGGCGGTGTGCGCGCTGCCCGGGATGCGGGTGGCTGGGAGGGAGGGGGCGCGGGGCGCAGGGGGGTTGCGCAGGCGCTGGCTCCGCGGCCTCGCCTCCTCCCTCCAGCTCCCCTTCCGGCCGCCGCGTGTGCCGGGGCGGCGGCGCCCGCGGGAGCGGAAGAACGGCCCGGCGCCCGAGGGTCGATCGACGCGGCGCGTCGCGACGCGCCTGCCACTCGCAGTGACGCCCACGCGCCTCTCGGGGGACGAACCTTTCAAAGCCACCGCTGCACTTTCTCCAAAACTAGTTGGTGTTGCGTTGTACGTGTGTGTATGAATTTATGTGAATATATGCATAAATTTATGTGAATTTGTGAATGTATGTATGAATTTATGTGTGAATTTATGAATGTAAGTATGGACTTATGTACGTATTAAGTGTCGTGTGTGTGTCCCTATGCTTGCTACTATGAATAAATGTGATTTTGCGTTGGAATATATGTTTGGTACTTATCTTACTGTACACATTTTTAGTTAAGGATTAACTTTTACGAATTTCACCTTCGTTAATAACAAGTTTTTTTGTTGCAAAATTCACCTAAATAAACATGCAACGTTGTTGGATTATTGTACCCGCTGGTCTAGAAGTTGGAGTGTTGCTGTCTGCAAGTTGAAGATTCCTATATATTGTAGGTAGCGGAATCCCTGTAAACAACATGTTCCACGAAGCTGATAGTTTATATTTAAATGCTAAGTATTAGATTCATTATAATTAATAAAGAGTTGCGCACATAAGGTTTCCAGATCGCCCACAAAGACGGATGAGGAGGGTTGTTTGAAAGGTTTAGCGACTCAATCTTTACATTGAGTTCACACGCCCCACCACCTTCTGGGAAAAAGGACTTTGTAAGGGTGGGTCCTGTTTATGAATGCCGCAGACCACGGATTGAGGTATCTAAAGGATCATTTGAAAATTTTGTAGAATTTCTTCCCGGAAAAAAAAATCATTAATTTCTTCACGACAGACTAGAAGGGCTTTTTTACATAGAAGAAAATAAAAACTGTCAAAATATTCATATTCTCGAAATTTTGTCTTTATTGGAGGTTAAATGGCACATACTGATTCAGTGAAATGATTTGAATAAACGCTCATAATATGAATTACTTCTCATAAGGTGTCACGTCAGCAAATCCTTTTTTTGCTGGTAGGTGTACGCGTCTTCCCAGAACACTGTTATGGTCTACAGAGCGAAAAGAAAACAGATCTAGTATTTTGTGGTGGAAATAATTGCATCATGTCTTTACGTATATTGTTCAACGCAGTTGATCCGACAGAAAACAGGTCTGCAGTCATTACTAACTGGAAACAAAAGATTCACCGCGCTTTGGACCTTCAAGCATAATTGTTCGTACAATAGTTCACAATGGCAAATGAGATAGGGTAGGGGGTCAAAAATTGCCCATGTTCATAACATTACCATACGCAGTCTATTTCTGAAGAAAGTTGCCACAAAAATGTTCAGATGATACATTACGTCGCTATTTGTCATGGTAGTTGGCAGCGAAGATCTCTTGACGTTAGATTATTTCGTGTTTGCATGGTGAATTCTCTAAATTTCTCCCGTGTGAGATATAAAACTACCTGCCCACAACCCTTCATAATATAGCAAGTAATTTGTTCCATGAATCGCGACCCTCATGATATGGTCAGTAGTTCAAAAACTAGGATTTTTATTTGATAGTTTTCGAATTTGTCTAGCCAGTTCTATTCGTAACATTCATCAAATTGTAGTGGTGACAGAAGCAATTTCCTTAGAGTTTGCGGCAATAGACGTGAAATAGCTTCTCGCTTAAATATACTTTCCCAAACATGTTTAACAAGTTTTTGTAGAAAATATTAAAGACATTAAAAACTTAAAATGTTGCAGTGGAAATGTTGGTATCGAAATACAAAAAAGCGTAATTGTGTGAAATCAGACTAGTTTAATGAAGAATAATTGCCTCTTACCATTCCGCGAAATTACCTTTAAGCATTTTTCCTCAAAAGCACCATATCAGATTGGCTTACGTGATTCAGGTTATTAATGACGTCATGCAATGACTGACCGGGAGGATGTAGGGTTCGAGTCCCGGTGGTGGCAGGAGTTTCGACAATAGCCACATAGATAGGTCGAATTCACCCTTTGACAGGAGGAAAATTCTAGCGGCCGGCTGCACTGATCGGTAGTTTTCCGTGGTTTCTCCGATCAACATCAGTTGAATGTCCGAGCAACACCCTAACAAACGCGCCACGGACCGCTCGAAATATTTCCTTCCTCTTCCGAAACGTATCCTCACTCCTTATTTACACACACACTTACGTGCACTACACAGCCACACGTACCGAGAGACCAAGTTGACCGGCTGGGGAGATGGCCCGCTGGTAGAAGACACGTGGATCGAGAAAAAATCCGCAAGCCGACGGGTAAGGTCGGCCACGGATCTCGCCACCCATCAGAGGAATATATCTGCCGGTCCATCTACGAGACTAATGACCTTAGCGGTTGACGCGCTGGGTATCAATAATCAATCAATCACCGCAGACACATACATGGACGATCGAGAGCTCAGTCGCACGAGGGTTCGCCGCCACTGCGAAGACAGTCAGCATCTCGATCCTTGGGGCCAGAGTTTCGATCCATCAGCGTCGATTGGTCCACTCAGTGATTGTTTCACTCAGGTGATAAAGTGATCGTGACATCCTAGAAGATAACATCTTTTTGATGTGGAGCGTTGCAATACCAGCGACTGATAAGCGACTGTTGGTCCAAAAATTCATTTTCCGAGGTGGGGGGCACATGTTCTTGCAGAATGTGTTCAATTTATTCATTAGTGTTTTTTAGGCTTAGTGGTACGTGGTACTTTGAACATCCATGCCATTTTATCGAAGGAAAACATCGATTACAAAACAAAAACATTAATGATGGAAAAGGTGCATTTCTTTCCTAATAGGCGTTTGGGTACTGTGAAATATGCTCAGTGCAGATGACTACTCCACCCAAATAATTGTTTTTCCAGGCTAAACACTACTTTTCTTCATCAAAGAGAATAACCTCAAACAAACTATACAACAGAAGCGGCTTTGATCTCCTTCCGGACGCTCCGTGTCTGACGAAAGATTGATCTTCATGGACCCATGTTCTGCTAAGTAAAGGTTTGATTCCCCCATGGAGCCCCTTGTCTTCACACAAAAGTTTGATCCTCCCATGGAGCCCATGTCTGCACAGAAAAAGGCCTGTTCCACTGTGGCGGGCGCCATTCGGAGCCGTAGTAGCGGCGGTGGCGGTGGCGGTGGCGGCTGCGGTGGAAGCGTACGGCGCTGCGCCGGAGTGGAACGGAGCGAAGCAGAGGCTGAAGCCACAACAACACGCCCGCTCGAGCGCTCTTACAAGTTTGAAGCCCCCTGCCCTTCGACAAGGGCTAATGGGCACAGTTACCAGGCGGAAATACAGATTCTTCCGCCCAACATGCCTTCTTCCTCTGCTTCTTCTTATTCCTGAAATTCTTCGTCATCTTCTTCTGGTACGTCTTTTTCATCATCTTCTACCTCTTGCTTTTTCTTTATCTTCTTTCGCTCCTTATTGTTCATTTTCCTCAGATTCGTCCTCGCCTTCCTCCGACTTTTCTTCATGTTAATCTTTCTCTGATTCTTCAACAACTCTCAATCAACCTCATATTCCTGTGTTTCTTCACCATTTTCATTTCATTGTTTTTCAAATTTCTCTTCATCTTCCTTCGTTTTTTCATCTGTCTCTGCTTCTAGTTGTTTTCATCTTCTTTCAGGTCTTAATTCTATCTTTTTCTCCTGTTCCTTTGTCTTCTACTTTTTCGGACTGTAGTGCTTCAAGGGGTTACTTACTCTGAATATTGATGTTTTAATTTCAGTTTGTATAGAAATGCATGAAGCCCTAGTCGCTAGGAGCAACGATAAAAAAATCCTTTATGCAAGTCTGTAAGAATGTTGGACCAGGTACAGAAACTTGATTCTTGGCTCTACTGGGATATTAGAAAAGGTGAATGATTTATTTGATATTATAAGAATCAAACTGTGCTTCGCATTTATCTTCCACTTCACTATCACAGTGTGAATACAAACAAATGTTCGGTATCCGAGCCCACAATTCTAGCTCTCGGTGTAGATGTCGGAGAATCTGTCAGTCGTTTGTCTGTCTGTCTGTCTGTCGTTATTTTTTACGTTTTCCGAAATGAAATATCTTGTAAGAAATCGAAAGCGACTTAAGTGACTCACGTTTCCTATTTTCGTAATGTGATTGTGTGAAATGAAATCACTAGAATGCAATTGAATTGCCCGATTCGAGTAAGTAATAAATTGGACTTAATGGCTACGCCGTTTTCGTTTAAATTCCAAATAGATTTTCTCGTAAAATAAAATGTCTGTCAAAAGAAAGTCTCTAAATCGGTAAGTTACAAATCGTAGGGGAAAGTCAGTCCTCTGAGTAAATTACATTGTATGAAAAGGGATCATTGAGTTTCGTCGCAAAACATTAATTCAACAAATACATGTAAAAAACCATATACTTCATGTCAATAAAGGTGTACGTTTTAATACCCCCTCCACTGCTGCTTACGTAAATGTATATATAAAAAAAGTACTTCAAAATACCTGAGAATGAGAAAATGAGAAGATCGACGGAGGATTTACATGAAAATATATTCGTAGTAATTGTGGAATTTGCAAGGTGTTCTTAAATATAACATTACGTACATCGAGTCCAACCATAATTCACACCTAATATTGAATTACAATATTATAACTAACGAATCACATTCACCTTACACCTTCTATCGTTCTGAAATGAATCGGTGTAACTCTCTTTTAATCTTATTTTGTAAAAGCTGGTTTGCTAGCGCTGCTGGTAGCCCTGAAGTTGTTTCGCATTCTACAGCGCAACTATGTTCGCCTACCGCCCCTCACCATTTGCTTACAACTCGCTTATCTAAAAAAACGGGCGTTCCACGAGGAGAAAGTCCCTTTCGATAGAGCGCAGCTGCACAGCTCCGCTTTCGATTGCACCGGCTGCACGTTGGTTCGAGCCTCGCGCACTACAGAGACCGCCTCGCCCACGTGACACCAATCCAGGTCCTATTCCTTATTTAAGAAACTCTGCAAACAGGTTCAAAATAAATCATTCTGGCGTAAATAATGGAAGAATACGACAATTAAAGTTTCCAATTGGTTTCAAGAGACCAATTGTTCCACGTAACTAGCTGCACGCGGTTAAACGTGGGAGTGACTTCGTTTTTGATACGTTCTTGAAACCTCATGGAATGCAGATAAAGTTACGCTCTCTCTCCTTCATAAAGCCTGTCATCTCAATTTCAACCAAAATGTCGGTTACCGTTTCTTGCCTACAAAATATTCAAATATTTGGTCGCATACTCTTTTATAGTCGAAAAGCAGCTATGAAGAGACGAAAAATATTCAGATTAATTAAATAAATGATATCACACTAAAATTATCCTCAAAATCATCTATAGTAGCAGCAATCTTCTAAAATATATAAGAACAAAATAAGTATAACTCAAGCAACATTTAAAATGTACAAAATGTTTACTCCTCTTCGGTGAATGCTTCATAGTACGAACAATATTATTGAATGAAGCATAAATAAATTTAAAAAACATTATTTTAGAAATCACTTACCACAAATCAGCATTTGAATTCTTAAGTGACTGAAAGGGGGAGGCTATTACCTGGAAAGAGAAAGAACCACGAGATTAGACCGTGCATAGTCTGGAGTAAGAAACAATAAAAGGTACACAGTTTATTTGAATTCTGAATTAAGAATTTGTAATAGTGATACATCAATAACAAAACATCGATGTTAGCAGACATCGACGTTCAAAATTAAAACATCAATGTTCAAAATACATCGACTAAACACTTTAATGTTTAAAAGTTGGTTTAGTAACCTATAACATTAAATTCGAGTGCATTAAAATATAATTTGACAGTGTTCGTGTTTATCAATTCTCTGAATAAGGGTACAAGAAGGGGTAGACCCTATACCCACAGCGTTATAGTTAAAGCGGATTGTATATTTGCTGATTTGAATATAAACAAAGAGGAAATACAAGGGCATGAAGGTCACCTCGAGCGAGAGAGTTTGGTCGATGAAGGTAGTGCAATTAGCATTCCTTTGGTTCCAAAATATGAATAACAGTGTTGCTATCAGTTATTATTTCATACTTTAACTTATACAATATTGTTTCTAATGAGAATTTTTCATTCAGAAACAAAACATGGAAAAGAAAAAGTATCTAACTCAAAACATCGATGTCATATAAAAATCAAGTGTTAATATATCGATGTTTAAAACATCTATGTTTCTATAAAAACATCGATGTTTTGGAAACATCGACGTCGCATCCCTAACTTGTAATATGTTGTTTGATATCTTTCCATTAATAAATGAGAGATATCATGGTGAGGATTCTATTCGGTGGATGAAGTATTTTGACCACATTAACTGTCATGTTCAAACGTAAACAGTAAAATTCAACTCAACTTAGAGGAGAATGGGGACAACATTGCAAAACATTTGCATGAAAATGATTTACAAAGGTTTGCTGCGCACAAAACCATTATTCTTGATATAATTTATTCTAATCTATGAGGTGTTTGCTTATTAGTCTTTCTGAATTATGAAACGCTCAAAGTTTGCAATGTTAGATTTTATGATTTCGTGAAATACGTTGAAGTGGTCAAAATATCGTGCGTAATCCTATGAAACACTTCATGTGAAATAAGAGTTTAGAACTCTCACCAAAGATAAAGCTAATAAATATCCGGGGCAGTAGAATATAACACCCGCTGGGTGAAAATACACTGGGCTTACAAAACCCGAATAAATTTAATCTGGTGAAAATGAAAAAAAGAATCCCCAAAGCGCTGATTTTAATCTCGCCAAGCCTACATGACGGATGCACCCAGACGTAGATGAAAAGGACGCTGCAGTGCTACATATTTATCATAGAGGCATGGGCAAGAATGTCACTGACGTCATCACGAAGGACCAACCGACTCGAAACGCATGACAAATTAGCTCTTTAAGCAGATGGTCGCGACAGCTGCGTGCAATGACAGATCATTGTGAGCCAACTATCCACTCGATGCGAGATGGAAATACGGCCTGATTACAACTGTAATAAATGTGTTCGAATACAATGAGTAATAAAGAGGAGATGTGCAATGGTCAAAGTACAATCATTTGTATTTAAGTTGTTATACTCGAACGAAAGTGTCTTGCGGAGATTGTGTGACTCAGAGATGACAGGTAATATCGGATAGTGCTCCTGACTGACGTGAGGGTGCATCCGAATGTGTAACCATCTTAGGGAAATAGTATATGCTAGCGATGTAAAATATATAGCGGAAGTAATAAAATGGGTATTATTAGGAATACGAAGAATCTGTTCCTAGTTTCTTAGAAGGTTACACGATACATTTCCAATTCCTTGTTAGAAGAACTTGAAATCTTTTTTGGTGAAATTAACTTTTTGATTTTTCACAAATATTCACACCACCCATCTCTGAAAACTCTTAAATTCAAATAACATTATGTTACGTCAGATTACATTTTAAGAAGAAACTACAATTACATTAAATAACCGTTGAATAACATTTCAAAAACAATGAAATTCACTTGAAACAAATAAAAATTGATTTGAAAGTTTGCGTACGAATTATAAAATCATCTAAACTCAAGAGTTAATAGTACATTTAAACACAAACACTTCAAATGAATTTTTATCATCAATCTAATGTTTATTTCAATGCTGTACTAGCGTAAATTAGCGCTGTAAAGTACGATATTTCGCATTCGAAATCCTTTACGAAAGATGACATGCGATCTGCATGCGATCCAACCACGCATGGTAAGCGCGGTTCTATTGTCTCCGCTGCCTGAAATTGCTCGGTGCGGATGGGCGAGACTTGCTAAGAAGGCGCCGCCCGCGACAAAGCCACCGCGACACCGAGACGTCTCCGCAAGGCGGCGCCACACAAAGGGCCCGCGAACGCGAAAATCAGGAGGTGGGCGGGGAGGAGCAGAGCCAGCGAAAGCTAGCAGCGCCCCAAAACCGAAATCAACCAAAGCGTATCCGAAATTAAAGCCCAATAGTAATAATAATAATAATAATAATAATAATAATAATAATAATAATTTGAATCTGTTGAAGTAGTCCCTGAGGTCATCTCTGCAAATGGACTGATCTCTGATGAACTAATTTCATCGTCTGCAAGGCTTGGCCTTAAGAACTGGCACATTGAAATAATGCAAAAGGATGTTCTTCTGAGTACTGCACGCATCGTTAGGAAGTTTTTATTGATATAACTGACCGCCCGAGTTTGCAAGAGAAGCAGGCACCTTGGTTCTACAAACGTCCCGGTGTCTGCTATAGTCACCTCGCTAAGAGAGACTTGAAGAAATAATAATAATGATAATAACAATAATGATAACAATAATAATGATAATAA